TGCGTAGAATGCAATTGTTTTAACATCTGAATTTGTTAGGATGTAGCCTGTTTCCTGAACGTTCCACACTCCTATTGTAATCAGACTGCAGCCACTTAAGAAGAGTCAAGCATGTTAGGATTCTAGCGTATCTCAAAGCCTTGAAAATTCACACAGAAAAGTTATACATAAAAAGGTTTTGACATCTCACCAAAAGGCACTGATATGCACTATTAAGAGGCAAAAACACTCCAACAGATCAGACAGAAAGTCACACGCTGCCCTCCATTTGTGCATTGGAACTTTCCACTAATTTCAGTGGAGTTTCAGTTAACAGCATGTGACAACTTAAAGTTAAGTTGGAGTCCCATTGTGTTGAGATACTGGAGAACAGGGGTATTTGCACAACATTAAAAAAAACAATGTATCAGCACAAATACTTCATCTGTGTCTGTAGTAGCCAAAGTTGTACATAAGCTGTAAAGGTAGACTAAAGTTTTAATTGCTTAAACATAGTAATCGGAGACACTGCTTATGGCATATGATATAGTTATCTTATTGACAAATTGCCCCTCGACCACTCCGTCCAAATGACATGGAGACCACAAGAGGTATGAAACTGCCATTTGAGTTCTCTGTAACCAGAACTTTCATGATACAGGTTCTTTTTCCCTTAAAATTCTCTAAGTCCCACTCCAACTAAATAATGTCTACTAATATGAAGAACAACAAATACATGCAACTCTGGGGCAGAAGTCTTTGCTGTGCTGATCTGGAGTCTGTGCTGTGTCTGTGGAGTGTCTGTGCTGATCTGGAGTCTCAGAAAAATCTAAGATTGTGATGTAAATAACAAGCATGACATGGCGATCAAGTAATGAGCAAGATCAGATATGGTAAGCAGACCAAACATCGAGATGGACAGACAGAAGCTCAAACTCCGTCAAAAATATTTGCAGTCATTTGTGAAGTAAATTAAAGTAAAAACAAGGAAGCAGGATTTTTACCTCATTAGTGTTATAGTACTACAACAATAGCTGTGCCCCTGATATTGACTAGTTTTGCCAACTCCTGTGTTATTCAAGTGAGGCTAGCGGAAACAGTATGTGAACAAATTGTTGATTAGCTTAGTCATTCTTTCCCAACAAGATTTTTTTTTTTATAAATGCAGCATTGCACACAGGGGAATCAGGCGGATATAAACTTTGTTTTATAAACCGGAATATAGACTAATCTAACCAGAGACAGTTTGCACCAACACACCCTTTGCTCTTGCACTTGAGGGATTCATGATTCGTATTTTGCTGCCTGACAAGTCAGAGTACAACTGCAGTCCTTTAAATGTATCGAATCAGTAGGAAACAAAGATTTTACTGAAAAAACAACGAGGAGTCCGGTGGCACCTTAAAGACTAACGGATTTATTTGGGCATAAGCTTTTATGGTTAAAACCCCCTACTTCTGCATCGTTGTTTTTGTGGATACAGACTAACACGGCTACCCCTCTGATACTTGGCACCATGCAAGATTTTACTGCCATGCACACCTAAGAGCAAAGCTAGTGCTACAGTATGTTAGTTTGCAGGCAATATTAAAAAAAAAAAAAGTTTAGCACATACTAGGAATATAAAACAGGATTAGAATTGAGATTTCTGCCATGTTCTCTTCCCTCCCCCTCCAAACTAGGTTGTTTTTAATCACTTGCAAAAGTAAGCCTCACAGCTAGAAAGCCATCTCTAATATTATTTTCTTCTTCTAGTGTGTATATAAAACTCCCCCACCATATTCTTCAATATTCTTCACAAGTCTTTTGAGTCTGTAACACATGAGTAATAGAAGTTTTACATAAGGGAATACAAAATAAAGTCTTCAGGCAGTTCTGTCTTTTGCCCTCAGCTATGATGACCCCAGTAGGCAAACAACTTTGACAAAGTTATGCAAAAAATGGTCAGTGAAACAATTTGTATAAAGATACTACAGCGATAAGGGATGCAGAAATCCTTATACATAAAAATTGTGTAATCTATGGTCGTGAGTTAGAATACCACACATAGCCATCTAGTATAAAAACGAAGGGATCTATTCTTTCCCAGTATGCAAGTTTATAGTTGCCATGCACTTTAAAAGGACATGGTCAACTTGAATTTTGGACATTCAATTTTCGGAGAGAGCACTATTTAAATGGTATGTCTTTTTTTCATTTAATTCTTTTAACATATTTTGACGTAAGCCTTCCTGTTCCATTTATTGTAAATGGGGTTTAGGTGGGCCTGAAAGCAACACGAAACTACTCAGTCTCTGGATGCCATCTTTATAAAAATAAATAATATTGAGATTGAGTTATGGGCACATTTCAGATAGAGAACAGGCCCCTCAAAGAGGAAACCATTAGCAGATTTCTATTTGGCCAGTAACAGCTAAAACAATTAATCATCATCATCTTGACTCAGCCAAAAGGAGTCAGAAGTATTTTGTCCATGTTCAGAATCTACCACCTGCCCACTTGTTTTACACCATTCCTTCTTCCAAGGCCGCAGTGGCAATGTTCCCTAAGTAAGAGGGAACTGGATTGGATTAACTGGATAGGATCTCTCACAGAAGTCATAAATGTGTATTCTTGTCATTGCTACAGGAATGACTTAAAAGAGACAAAAGTGCTCTTTCCTCTCAGATTTAAGGAGTACTAATAAATCAGATTGAAACATTCAGGAAACATTCAGGGCTTGAGTGGTAAATCAAGAGAATCCTTTCCTTGCTGACCTTCCTTTACAGTTATTAAAAGAGGCATCATGTCAAAGTTGGTTGGTCCAAAATTAGACCTCTATTTTCCTCGAATCTATCTGCAAAGTCTATGTAATTCTTCACATGTGATGGTTTGTTTAGCTAATTATATAGACATTTTTAGCAAAACAGCACCTTTATTTATCTGTATTGTACATTATTTTCCATTATTTTAAATGTGCTAAAAACATATACAAAAGTTAAGGTAGAACTCTTTCTCAGATATATGCTCATCACAGGGTTCTGTGGCTAACCTCATTTCTGAACAAGAGGAATTGTAATTGTGTTAGAGTCCGAGCATTTGGCTGTTTCAGGTCACGTGGCTTTTCAGCTCCGCAGCTTTGTTTAAATTCCCCACTTCCTTCTTCAGGACATTTAGCAGCATTCTAGAACTATCCAAAATCTTCATATAAGCAGTTTCAGTTTCAGCAAGGATTTTATCAAGCTCGTTCCGTGAGGCTGTCTTCTGGGCCAAGTTTTCACAGACACTCTCCAGTTGCTTAGACAGGATTCGAATTTCATGCTGGAGTTTATTTTTTTCCACTTCCGCTTGCTGGATCTGCTTGTTCAGTTCTTCCCTTTGCATGCATAAGTCTTCAACGCATTTCACCAGCTCATTATTGTAACCCTGCAGAACAGCTCCCTGCTGAGTCATCATCCAGGCTCCACCCTCTTAATGGACTCTGCCACCACTTTCAGTGTCCTCTCTCAGCGACATCCTTCAGCACTTTCATTTAAAAAGGAAAAACAAAACAAAAAAGGCTGCAGCTGGGCTTTTGTGAACAACCCTCCACTAACAAACCAGCAGGGGTACAGCAATGGTAGAACAACATTCTGCTTTTAAAAAAACCCAAACCTAAACCTCCCCAGACTTAAATTTAACATACCCAAGGATACAACTTCTGTGGAGTTCCCACCCTCTTTCTGTCGAGGGATCAGGGCCTAAATTCAAGGTTCCAGAATTTCCATTTATTTACTGAGTGCTTTAGTGAGGTTCTTCTGATAGTTACTGAATTTTTACAGATAATGAAGTCCAACCCTTCATTACAGCAAAATTGTCTCAAAACAATTTTCACTGTAGCTTCCTACTATCAGACGTTCATGACTTTCCTGGAAAAAACCCAACTCCTTTTGGATTCAAAATATCAGTGCTTGGTCACAAATATAACCCTGTAATATACAAATATGGTCTTTTCTATGGAGGACAGAAATTTAGTGAAAAGAAAAGGAGTACTTGTGGCACCTTAGAGACTAACCAATTTATTTGAGCATAAGCTTTCGTGAGCTACAGCTCACTTCATTGTCACCAGGAATATTCACTCAAAGTCAAGAATAAAAAAAAAAGATATTTTCTCTGATACTGTACTGAACCACAAGTACCACCTCCACTCAGTACTTCCCAGATCTGCCTATAGTGACTCAATTCAAAGCTCTATTTTCAAACGCACGTGGACATGGGTGAGAAGGAGACTTAGCTTTTCAGATTCAATGAATATATTTTGTAACGTGCAAGCTAGCTGCCTGCCTCTGCTCTCGAGAGCTACAGGGAGCAGTCTGGATGAGAGCACTCTCACAGTGCCTATTGTCTCTATAGAAGAGCCATATCATGAACATAACATGCTTGCTATGGGCACTGATTGCAGGTGCGAGGGGGCCAGGGATGTACCCCAGCCCTCGCTGCTCTCCATCTTTTTACTACTAAGTGTAGACAAAGAGAGTGTGCTCGGGGGCTTCAAGCAGTGGCTGCTGTGGCACGCTACAAACAGCACTGCCACCAAAAGTCTGGCAATTTGAGAGGGGAAACCCCACAGGGACGGCTCTTATTATTGCCACCTAACTCCCACAGCAACTATGGCGGTGACAACTCAGGCACTTTCCTAAAAGAGACAGGAACAAAGCCCCAGCCTTCGAGTCTTAAGACTTGAACATCCCCTGGGGCCGCTGTGAGAGAAACAAGCGCCGCCAAGGGCGGCACATGGGACACACTCACACATCCACGGAGCCAGCAGCAAGCCTCCCACAGGGCAGTTTTAACCTTCTCCTTCCCGAGTTTCCTCCCAGGAGACAGGACGTACACAAGATGGTTCCTTTTCTACCTCCCTCTCCCCCGCGCCTCCCTTTCACAGTCGGGCTTGGGGTGGACCCTCTCCCCTTGCTATTGCCCCTGTTGTACCCAACCTGGCCGAAGAGCCTCCCCCACCAGCCGGAAAGCGGGCTGCGCTAACTAGTAACCAGCGCTCTCACCCCAGGCTGTCTGCAGCAGAGCGAAGCACGCCTCTCAGGAGCTCGCCATCCCACCCAAGAGGCGAGGGGCGCTTGGCCAATCAGCCAGCCTAGCTCTCCGAACAGCTGCTTTCTCCGAGCGTTCCAACCGGCAGTGGCAGCAGGGCGAGGGGTGAAGGGTCACGGAAATAGCCGGGAACTTCCGAATGCGGAGCAGCTTCCTGCGGCGATAGCCGATGTTTTCCGAAGGCTGGTGGGGCTCGTTACGGGGAAGCGGAAGGCTGGTGGCGGAAATAGCCGATGTTGTCCGAAGGGGAAGATTGAGGGCGTTGGGCTCGGCGGAAACAGCCGATGCTTCCCGAAGGCACAGCCGCCCCAGAGCAGAGGGGGCCGAGTGGGAGGAGCGTGCCGAAAACAGCCGAAAACACCCGACGTTAACCGAACAAGGCGTCGCCCGAGTGTCCCGGATGTAGCTGGAGGAGCGGCGGCGGCGGTGGGAGCAGCGGGGGGAGGAGGCAGCGGAGTCTGTGCTTCTCAGTGTCTCAGAGTGTGCGGGGCCGAGCTGCGGCGTCTCCCCTTTCGCTGTGCGGAGAGGAGATGGGCCCGTGAGCGCTGCTCCCAGCCGAGCTGCCTGAGCTGCCCCCTCCCTCCCCCCCCCTTCCCTGTCCCGGTCGGTGGTGAGGCGGAGCGCTGCCTCCCCCTCCTCCCCCCTCGGCGCCTGTGGCCCGGCCGTGGCCGTCCCCTCCTGGTCCCCTCACACTCACACACACAGGCCGGGCATTGATGGTAATGTATGCGAGGAAACAGCAGAGACTCAGTGATGGGTAAATCCCCTCCTCCCTTCCCCCACCCCGCGGGGGGCTCCCCCAGCCCCTCCGCCATGTTTGTGGTACCCCCTCCCCCCTTGGCGGCCGGTAACGGTTGTTCGCTAACGTCGCTTTCTCTCTCTCTCTTCTAGCTGTCACGACCGCAGGGGGGACTCACAGCCCTACCAGGTACCTGCAGCGCTGGCCGCTAGGCCCAGGAGGAGGAGCGGGGGAGAGAGCGGACGGGGGGGCGGGAGCTACTCCAGCACAGGCTTCGGCCGCCGACGCAGGCCGCGGTGCTGCCACTTCCCCGCCCCCTGCCCTCCCAAGCCCCTTAGTGCCGGGGAGGGGGGCGGCAATGTGTGAGGCGTGCGGGGTCCCGGTTCCCTCTGGGGCCCGGCGGGGCAGAGGTGCGGCGGCTAGGCGCGGCCTAGCGAAGTCCTGTGTAGGGTTCGGCCCTCAGTGCCGGGAGAACGCAGGGGGCGGAAGAATGAGTCAGTATCGCATTTGGTGAAAAACAGATAGTAAAACGTGTTCTCCAAAGGCTAGAGAAAGCCCCTCTCCCGCTCCCCAAATCCCTGCCGGGAGCTGTGACCTGAGCAAGGCGGGCTGTAGCCACCGGATGAATCACTGGGGCTGCAGCTTGCACTCAGAAACCTGCATCAAATCTTTGTCACTGAGAAACTACTTGTATTTCTGAGCGGCATAACATACTCCCTCCCTAGCCTTGTGCACCTGAAAACCCGGTTTTTGGGGAGCGCTAGCTGTGGTTTTTTGAGGACACCTATTCCCATGGGTTAGGGGACTGGGGTATTGTGCTCTCCTGACACATTTGAGGGGCTGTTTTATGGAATTTCTGGGCATTTGGCTGACTAGTCATGAAACAAAATGTGACAATTGAAAGCAGCTGTTAGTGACAGTTCATCCAAATGTAAACATTCCCCCTACAGAGGTTTGCATTGTGAAAGCAAGCAGGTGAAAGATGCTGATCAATGCTGCTTCCAATGTGTAAATATTTCAGAATGAACACAAATTAAGCCCCCCCCCACACCACCTCACACTACTACTTTCCCCCCCCACCCCCATTCCACATCCTTTTTAATACTATCTTAGTTGTTCTTGTGCCCAAATAAAGTTTGTTTTGGAAATTCAAGGTGGTGGGTGAGCTTAAGTGACTTCGAATTAAACTTGCAGTGCATACACTGGTTCATGCAAAATTTGTAAATGATAACTTCTGTTTTTATTACATTACTTATTGAGTAACTGAACACTGCTCCTCCTAAAAAAGAAGAAAGTCAGCAGTCTATGTAGTGCTGAATGTGTATATAACACAAGATGAATAAGAATTCAAGGAATTGCAGTTTAATTTTAATACCCTATTATAGCAGATAGTCACCTCTGAGACCACAGTGGGGAAGGTGGTATAAGAGCTAAATAAGAACAGAATTTCTTACTGTAGATGGATAATTAAAATTGGGAAGCCTTATGCTACTTGTCTTCCTAAATTGCTGCTATGTCACTAAGATATACCTTAGAAATAATTTTATCACTAAAATTTACACTAGAAAGTGGAAAAGTTTTAAATATCTTGTAAATTTAGAATTTGTATTAGTTGGAAGTAATATTAACTGCTACAAAAATGAAATCCAATTAAAAACATATTCTCATCTCTTCCAGACTCTTAAATACTCATCAAAGAGTCACCCCAGTGGTGGTGATCACCGTCATGACAAGATGCGAGACACCACAGATCCTTCACCACCAAATAAAATGTTGCGGCGGTCTGATAGTCCTGAAAACAAATATGGTGACAGCACAGGGCACAGTAAAGCAAAAAGTGTGCATGCTCACAGAGTTAGAGAGAGGGATGGAGGTGAGTTGTTTTTAATTGACTTTTATTTAAGCAGTAGTAATCTAAATTACATTTTATTGAAGTAACAAGTGAAACAGTTACAACTGTCATGACCACAACTTTACATTAAATGACATGCCTTACACCATGGTGAGAAGACTGCACTAAGACCAAAATATAGTGATCAGTTCCACTGGAGGTAATTGCCCTGGGTCTTTTAAACTGAACTAATTCTTTCATGCTTCCAAAAAGTAGTTGTTTTCAATAAAGCCACCAAGAGATTAAATAAATTTAATTTTTTTTGTATTGTTGCATTTTCGAGCTCACTTCTAAAGGCCTTGGAAAGAGCCGTATATGGTAATATCTTAATTAGATTACATTTTAGACTTTTTTCATAAAATATGTTTTTACTTATTCTTCTAAAGACTTTGAAGCATCAGAGTTCCAGTTACTATTAGTCTGTCTTCTGTTGTTCAGTTGTTTAAATTACTCATAATGTGTTTGGAGCATAAGAAAATGCTCACAGGTTAACTTGGATTAATCTTTTTCTTTTTTGATGTGCTGTTTTTTTAAAAGTTGCACTTCCATACATGGTATATGAAGTTCTTTGCCAGCCTGATAAGCTTCTGTTCTACACTGCCATTCAAGAGACTGGATTTAGTTTCTGGTTCTACTTAATTGCTCCCTAAGGCACTGATCCTTCAAATACTTTTTTTCTTAACTTTTTACTACCCTGAGTAGTTCCATTGATTTCCATGGGACTTACCACAGTGAAGGTAAGCACATGTGTAAATGTTTGGAGGATCAGGGTCCAATATAGGAGCACTTCAGGGGGTGGGGATGGTATTTGAGTATTGAACACATTCTCTCTGTGTGTAAAAGTAGGAGAAATAAGTTCAAGTCCCCCTGGACTGAATGGTGGTTGATGCAGGGCCTCATGGATGTATACAGTGGTGTTGAGGGATAATGTAGTATACATACTGGAATATCTAAAGGGAACAGATGGCGGCTACTTCGTCTCTTCTCTCCTTCCCCCCTTCCTTCATGGAGTGAAAAATTCAGTGTATTATGATTAATAAAGGTTTTATATATATATATATAATATATATATATATATATAGTGTATTTTTAGTATGTGTAATAAGTAGTCCTAAATGTTTGCGTAAGTGAATGTGAGCCCTTCAGAATAAACAGTGTTTATTAAATGACACAAAATGAAATAGACTGAAGTGATTTTGTTATAAAAAAAACCTAACAATTATTTATGTATTCAGAAATCATGTCTAGCTTACAGTCCATAAAAATAGCGTAATTGAGTGAAACAATGTTAAATTGTGACCAGTAAAGCAAAGTACATAGAATGAACTGGCAGAGCCTACTTATGCAGATAAATCTGTGCTCTGAAATAGTTTATACAAAGATTTAAACTGCATTTATTTTACTTTGACACCATTAAGATGTATGGGATACTCGTATAATTTTTATTAATTGGAATTAGGTGTTGGAACACAACTGGAACTTCTTGACTGGGTGTTGCTGTTACATCCATGTCCATAATGCCCAATAAATGTAACGGGCTACCTGATTTTAAATACAGGTTAGTGTGTACTATAATTGCATTAAAATATAGTGCTGATTGTTCCAGTATGTCACTAATTATACCAGTACAGAAGTAAAGTTATCTCAGTACTTCCTATATATCTCCCAATTTCAGGGTTACAGAAAACTTACTGAGAACATACTGTATTTTATTTAAATGGGTAGTTATTGTCAAGTTAGACAGCATGTTTTTAAAAAAAGAACAAAAAAAAAAACTTTACTAAATGCTAATAGGACCTAGGACTATTAACTGAAGTAAAATTAATAATGTCATTTTCCTCTCCATTATTTTGAATGTGTTTATTCTTTGCATTTCTTAGTTTAGACAGTGAAAATAGACTGGTTTCACTTTTGTATTTATTCATTTTCTAGTCCGTTTCATTATTGTGGTGTTGGAGTGTTTTGATTGGAACTACTGCAAGGGAATGACTACATCTTAATGATTTAGTTGTATGGAAATACTCCCATGATTTTTTCTCATTAACTTTTAAGTTTTGTTTAAAAAACAAACAAAAAACCCAACAACATGCACCACGCAACACTGGAGTTTTAAACGTTAAACTAGAAGCCTAAACTCACCCATTCCTCTGCTTTTAAAGTTAGTTTTAAAAATCACTTCAATTTTCACTCTCCTAGTTTCCAGTTCTTCTTTGAGCAAAACAGATGACTAAGTGGTACAGTGTGCTGATGTTTTTGAATTTATTCAGTCCTGAATCTGGTCCAGTATTTTGTGGTAAAGCAAAAATTGACCTAACTTTATTAAGGGCTTATCTATACACAGGGTTTTTTTGTTTTTTGTTTTTTTTTGTGCCGGTATTATTGTATTGGTTTAGAGACCAATATAGACAAAATGGTACAACCATCTAGTAGGGATACAGTTATACACATATCAATAAAGCTTATTCCTGAAATAAGATGTACGGATATAAGCACCTTTGTACTGGTATATAACCGCATCTGCGGTAGAAGGTTTTACCACTGTAACTATATTGGTTTCTAATTTATGTGATTATAGTGATACCAAAAAAACCCCAAACGTATAATATGATATAATACGACTAAAGCATGTTTTTATATTAGGTTGAGTATTCAGTCTTTCTGGCAATAGAATAAACTTTATGAGGGTTATTGCAGGCTTTTGACATACTCTCTCCTCTTATCGCCCAAGG